ATATTATTTTGCTGTAAACACTCAAAACATTTTCGTTCACACTAGAAGAACATGAAAGAACGCTCGTGTTCTCGCTCTGGCTCTTTGTTCGTTTGGTTTAAATGCACCTTAATGCAAGCTACGAATTTTTAAGCTTAATAACGTTTAAAAAAAAGCTACTCAAGGTAAATAGATTTCACGAGACTGCCATAATTCTTAACCTTTCCTACACCTGGTTTCTTATTTATAAAGTAGATTTATGATAAAAACGGCCGCTCCGAATTTTTAATTGTTAATTTAGCTCCTTAATTAAACAAAGAAAACGAATGTGCGTTATAAATTTGATCAAGACAAACTTAAGAGGAAGCAAACTCATTTTTATATCATAAAGAAGTGAATGCTGAAGGTTTTTCGGGTTTGGCTAATCGTTGAAACTATACGATTTCTGTTTTTTTTTTTAATTTTTTTTTTATTGTCCAAAAAAATATTTTTTTTTGCATGCAAAAGTACATCATCAGCGCACAAAAGGCCTTTCGGGTTTATCAGTGGCCGTGGAGTTCAATAAACGTTCTAAAAATAATTACAATAATTTGTCAAAGTATATTAGGTGGTTACATAACGTAATTTCTTTATTATTTAACAATGCAATTGACAGAAGGTATATCAAGCAAACTCAGTTAATCTTACTTAGCAATAGATGAGAACATAATTTTATATAATGTAATCATTCTTACTTTTATCAAGAAAGTATTTTTTCAGATATTTTTATAATTACGCTTATTCACATAATAAGATACAGATTCATCAGTCATTTCATTAAAATTCGTCATATTTTTAATTAAAACAAGATTTTCCTTCCTGACGTCCTAGAAAATGATTTTACACCATTTTAGACGCTCTATTTGTGTTCGGATCGCTTGTGTAAGGGACTCGCTTCACTCGCTCGATCCGTCCTTAGTATTAGCGTTCGGATCGCTGTTGTAAGGGTGGCAGTTGTTTGTTTATGTGGCATTTATTATCTAGGCAATTTATTAAACATATGTATATTATACTGTACTAAAGTTTTTGATACACTCACTACCCAAATCTATCTTATATATATAAAAATTTTGTGTCACGATGTATGTTGCCAATAAACTCCAAAACTACTTAACCGATTTCAATCAAATTTCACATGTAGCCGTATTCTGGTCTAACTTACTGGATAGGATAGTTGTCATCTCAATTATTCGCTTATGTCGTAAATGTAAGCAAATAAAATGTTCTAATTAATTGTTTCTTAAGCGAGTGTTTATTTACTGTTTAGTTTTATGAAGTTCTCATAGATGGCGGTGTACGTTGATTCATAGATAAAATTCTTCAATATCGTTTGACATCTAGGTTGCAAATACACCCTATAGATGACGCTGTGTTCTAGATGGTGTTTATTCTAAAGTAATCTGCGGTAACGTTTCTTTCAAAGAATTTTGCGTAGATTACGTTTTCGATTAAGTTTTGTGTAAACTTCAGAACTGTTTTATTTTTCATATTTATTTGAAATTGCATTGAATTGGATTAATATCTTTAAAGTTTCAAAGCTAAAGTGCTGAAACATATTAGACATTCGTTGGTATTTTGTTGTACTATCTTCGAACTTAAACATCAAGGTAATTTCATCATCAGCTCAGAAAACAACAGCGATTTTGGAAAATATGATGCCCAAAGAAACTATATCACACAGACGAAGTCGCGGGCAAAAGCAATTTATATATTTTTTTTCCAGTACGCAAAGGTTGTCTGGAAGAATTACTTTTTAGTAATAACGCCGCTAATTGTGCATATTAATTGATTGTATCCATTGGTGTACAATAAAGCATATTTCATTAATTCATTTTGTTTCCAGGTTTGTTGTTCTACACTTATGTGCAATCAGAAGCTTGTGTTCCCTACAGTGTGTGCCAGCCCTATTGGAATATTAACAATCAATGCGTACATCATTATAAGGTATGAATTCATATATGCTTCTTATTTTTCCTTTTTTTGCAATAAATGGGGTTATATTTAAAATATTCAAGTGCTGAGGTTTGACCTATTTAGCCATCTTTTTTTATCATTCCACCACTTTGTTTGCGAAAAGTTAAAACCTATTAACATTGGCGGACTAATCTCGTCGGGGCTCGGGGCGGCATCAGGATCAGACCTACAATTTTTTTTTCAACCGGATCAGAAACTTGATATTGATATTGCGTTTCCATCCGCCCTACCCTGCTTAGACGCCTTTTAAAACTACGAAACTAGACATAAGAAAGATAAGACAGTACAACCCCAATTTATGATTTGATCAAGTGAACTTGCAGCCATTTTGAGGCCTCTCAGAGAAGAGGCTCAGGGCTGAACTCCCCCTCCTCCCCCTTAGTCCGCCGCTGCCTATAAACCAATTATTTTTTTCTATACGTAAATTCATACACTCACCCAAAAAAATATTCAAAATATCAGTGACCGGAAATATTTAAATGAGGTTTCACATAACGACAAGATTAAAAATACTCAGCACATATTTAGCTTCTATACAAAGTTGACACAAAATATGGCCGCCACGTCAGTTTAAAACTTTCACATTAAACGTCAAATGCAAAAAAAATATACGGTAACTGTACATATATTTTTAACTGTGCCCATTTGCCAATTTAATTGAACTACTGAAAATAAGAAAGTTCTTTGTAAAATAGCTGTAAGCCGTATTTGAATCGGTGCGCCAAGATTAAGTTCAATGGGATGCCCTAATGATTATGAAATAGGGCAGGATCATATTAATACTAATATCTTTTCAATATATTAGAAAATCTAGCAACAGAATCATTTCATACAGCATTAACATGCCTTCCACTGCAACAGGAAAAGTACAACTATTACATACAGTACAGGCAGTCCTCAACTTACGTCGTTTCGATTCACGTCGTTACAAGTTACGCCAAACAATGTTTTGACACTGTTCCTCAAGCATACGTCAATTGTTTCGATTTAACTTGTCGCGAGGTCAATATCCGTGGTATTTTAATGTTAATAACAAAATTTGTGCAGCCTGTGACAACCAAGACCAGCTCGCGTAGCATGACGATCTCAAGAACGTTTTGTCTACATTCAAATGTCACTTTTCTCGGGTGCGCTCATTCAACATCTCACTTTCGACCCGAGATAGTGACATTTGGGTGTAGACCAAACGTTTCTCGAGTTTGACATGCTACCCGTGCTGTATGATAGATAGCAAGACGAAAGAAGCGAAGCAATCGAGAATTGCTAGTTTCTTTAAGCCAAAAGTTTCATTTATTATTTCTCATTAAATATTTTGATTACTAAAGTTTTATTATTATTATTGAAATACCAAATATAACTTGCAATTTCATAAGTACATTTACAATTATTTTAAGTTTACTTACTTTTGATAATAAAGTATGTATATCTTTTGTTATAAATGTAGTTTTTTTGTTTATTTTGAGTCCGTGTGGTACCTAATCCTTGATTTTACATGTAAACATATGAAAAAATATATCTCGACTTACGTCGTTTCTTTTTACGTCGCGTATTTCGAGAACCTAACATGCCGTAAGTACAAGGACTGCCTGTACCTATTTATAATTCCGATTCTGACTCATCAGAATATGCTATACCAATAACACCCCTACAGGCTAAGACCCCTGCGAAGAAAAAAAAGATCCGACGTTCTATTATCAAAAAAATTTAAAAAAACTGGTCTGTGTCACCGAAACGATAGTCTCTTCGGTAGTCACTATATTAATTAGTGATTTTCAAATGATTTCATAAAGAGTGTATATGAGTATTAGTATTGTAAGAAAAATAAATGAATTAGACTGAATATTACTCATCGTTTTTTTTTTTTCATAATACGGGGTCTTTTATCTTGGAATCTGAGCAATTTATGTGATGTTGTCATAAATACATATTTATTTTATTTTCGGTGATGGCAGTTTGAGATATTTTTTTAAAGAAATAACGTATTACTTACGTCGCAAAGTATTATTGACATGATACTTATTATATTTCAAAAAATAATTAATTAATTAACCGCTTTTACTGTTTTGGACCACTGATATTTCTTATAACAATGACACATAAACTAAAATAGCATATTACCTCCTTTTCAGACGAATCGAAATGAAATTAGAAGAGCTGACACTTTAAAATTTACCAAATCAATTGGTCGTCATACACCACAAGCACATGACATCAAAGATGGTCCCAAATATATTTTAACTATAGTAGGATATGGAAGAGAAGTTTTTGATATCATTCGAGCATTAGAAGCGAGTGGTCGTAAAAAAAACGTAATTGTAACGATTGCATTAAACAAAGATGGAAAATTCAAAGTTTTGAAATGTCTCGACACAGACTTGCAATTATTAGAAAGAATATTAGATAAATATAATATATATTTAGAAGTATATGACGATTTAAGTAATAACCATAACATAAACACTTGGGGCTTTGATAATGTAATAATGGTTTCAAGCAAAGAAGACTCTATTTTGGCTACATCAGAAATTTACAACAGAAATAATGTTTTACCAAATATTAACGAAGAACAAAAATATGTATCACTTAACAGAAATAACCACGAAGTATTCAACAATTTTTTTGATAATAACAATAAAATACATATACCAAACGATAAAACACTTAATGAAGGAAATGGATATACTCCAAATTATAACTTTAGATCGAAACAAAAATCCCAAAACGTTATATTGACAAATACATTTTATAATCAAAATGGCTACGCTTCAACAAGTGAATTAAATCAATATAACGTCTGTAATAATAAAATTGATATAAAAAGAAGTATAGATATAGCAGACCATACATCAAACTCTCAAAATAATGTCTATAATGCAGACCATCATTCTCAAAGCGAAAAATTCACAACACAAGCTTTTATCAATTACAATAATCTAAACTTGAATACCAACTCAAGAAAACATACTCATAAGAGCATAGTCATTAATCCTATGTATGAATATTACAATATGAAAGATAATATTGCTGAATATTATTCAACTGGTGGTATTGATAAAGGATTTAAATATATAGACAGTAATTTAGATATATCTGATAACGTGAAAAACGATATGAAACAACACAATAGGGCTGTAAACAATTTCAATGTAAAAACTTTCGATAAAACGATTTACGATCCAATTCTAAAATGTTACATATATAATTCGAAGCCCATACGTTACAAAACCTTTGCAATTATAATACCGTTAACAAATACAAACAATTTTGTTGTCAATCCTATGTACAAATATTATAATAATGAAGATAATTTTGAAAAGAATATTTGCAACAACGGTCTTAATTATATTTGTAAAGACACCAACAAATTACGCTTCCTAATTGATTCTAATGATGATATAAATTTCAACTGCCAAGATAACAATTATGAGCAAAAAGATAATTTTAAAGCGTCAGGTTTTAGTAATAGGAATCCACTTCAAAAACCTGAAACATTAACATTTAGTGTGAATTCAAAATACAATAATCCAAACCAGTATATAATCGATTCTAACTTAAATGAAAACAACGCTAAGTATGAACCAAGTGATTGGTATTTATCAAATAGTGATTATAAATATCGACAACAAAGTAATAAGATAAATACAAAGGCTGTTCATAACTATTTTACAATTTCTAATTCACGGCATTACAAAAACTTTGTAACTATTGATTCAGATACTCCCAATCAATATCCAAATATAATTTATGTCAATAATCAACCCGTATCTAATAACCCATATAACCAGTATGTAACTGTTGATCAGGATAATATTTCTCGCGTGAATAACAATAATCAGTTTCCTATAAAATCTAAAATAACCCTACTAAATGTAAAACCATGCACTGAAATTAATAATGCTTGGCTTAAAAAATATGCAAATCGAGTAGGCTCCGATTTCAAAGTCAATAATGAATTTAAAATTATCAATTCTAATCCTAAATCTGTAAAATTCGACTATATTAAATATAATCCCATTATAGATGAACTTAAAACTCCCAGTACTAATAAACCAGTAAATTACTTTTCAACAAATGCACAAGGATATTGCTGCAATTTCATGTCCCGATTACCATTACCATCATATAATTTTCGAGAGTCTACTGAACCTCATATTCAGGCAAAACTATCGCAAGATTCCGATACAAAATCAAACCAAAAGATATTCTATACTTTCACTCCTACGGCATCTACACTTGAAAATTTTGCAACTATAGCAAATTCATCACCATACGGAAGTCAATTACTAACTCATGAAAACCCTATTGGTCGCATTTCATTAAATACACAAAGGTTACTTTCAACTAAAAGATACATTCCTTCAAAATCTGTACCAACAGTGAAAATAACCTCATATAATAAACCAATATTTAATCCCAACCTAAAACCAAACCAAAATGATCATTTAACATTTTCCCCTACAACTATTATGTCAAAATATAGCACTTTTCTATTACCATACCAATTGTCAAATTCTAAATGGCCTTATAAAATATCTACTCGTAACATATTATCAAATACAAAAACATATCCCAATAGTATTGTTTTCAAATCCTCGAAGCCATTACCAATATTATACAGTCCAGAACTTGTTACTGCATCACATATTCCAATGGAGTCAGCCAGCACTTATTCCCAACCGTATTCTTCTAATCCAAAACCGAATGAAAATAAACTTTATTTTACTGGTACGAATAAACCGGTTAATTACGTTTCATTAAATACACAAGGACACTCTAATGAATTCATCCTCCAATTTCCAAACTCTTTACCATCATATAATATCCGAGATCTCACTCAACCTCATGTGAAACCATCACAAGATTCGAATGAAAAATCAAATGGAAATAAATTTTATACATTTACTCCAACATTAAATTTTAATCAAAAGATAAACAATAATAAAGTCTATACTCCTACAGCACTTACAATACCATATAATTTACCTATTCCTTCAAATTCTAAAGAATATTTCAATAAAATCATCGCCCAAATGCCAGTTCCATTAGGGTCATATAATCCTCATCTTTCTATTAAAACAAAGCCCTCACAGTCATTGAATATTTTCTCCACGTATAAAAATAACATGGCAACACCATATGCCAGTCTAAAATCAAATGATAATAAAGTCTACCCATTTAATCCTACAGCATTTGAAAATATTGAAACTATTTCACATTCATCACCATACGAAAGTCAATTAATAACTAGTAAAAAACATTTGGATCGCTTTTCATTAAATCCAGCAAGCATAGTTACTTCTCCGACATCTTATTCTAGTCCAAAACCAAATGAAAATGTACTTTATAGTTTTACTACCACTGCACCTTTATACAACAATTATAAAAACAACACTATAATATCGTCATCTTCATATCTATTTCCCGTCTCTACAAAAAGTCCCAATAAGAAACCTCTTAATCATATCTCATTAAGCACTCGAGGATATCTCGATAATTTCATCCCGCAACTTTCATCGCCACTAACTTCCTATAATAATCCCCAATTCCAAAGTGAAATACTACCTTCAATTGAGCCAAGTATTCCAAAGAAAGCAACACATGTATCCACAATTTCTCCTCCATTCAATGGTAAAAAGCCAACGCTAAATTACAATAACATACTCGATACTGTCTCTGTTTCTGAACCCGCAATTATTGATTCCAAATTTAATGACTTAATGTTATTATCAAAAAATCCATGGGCAACAAATAAAAACCAGCCCTGTGCGATACCTCTTCACTTTTCATCCAACGGAAAAGTATATTCTAATAAGTTCATCCCACAATCTGAATTACACAATCCAACAAAATTAGCTGCAATGCCTTCTTTATATAAATACAAACCTATAACATATTCCAATCAGATACCAAAGAAAGGCTACAGTTTTACACCAAGCACACCGGGATATGTAAATTCAAAATATAACACCATTCAATATTTATTGCCTTCTAAATTGCTTACTTCCAAAAATAGACCTTGTACAAATCCTACAACACCTTGTTTGTACCCAGATGCACTAGGATATCAAAATAACTTTATTCCTGAAAGCGAGTCACTATTAACAGCAAGTGATCCCCAATTTTATTCTCAATCAAAACCTTTTATTGCACCAAACCTGCCGACACAAGCAGCCAAATTGTCTCCTTATAAAAACAATCTGCCAAGATTAGATTTCAAACAAAATATAAACAATAATAAAGTCTATTATCCTACAGCACTTACAATACCATTTAATTTGCCCTTTAATAACAGACCTCGTACAAGACCTATTATTCACATTCCTTCAAATTCTCAAGGATGTTTTAATAAAATTATCACCCAAATGCCGGACGTTTTGAGACCATATAATCCTCATTTTTCTACTAAAATAAAACCCACACAGACATTGAATATTTTCTCTCCATATCAAAATAATATTCCGACACCATACAATAGTCAAAAAACATACAATTTTTCTCCCTTAAATATTAATTCCGGCTTCAACGCTATGACGGATGATATATCACCATGGCAAATGTCAATTACAAACAGACCTAACAAAATACCCTTAGATTATTTTTCATCAAACGCACAAGAGCACTCCAATAACTTAAACCCAAAAAATATATTACCATTAACATCAAGCAATCAACGACTTCCTATTGCACCACAAATTTCTATATATCCTTCACAACCAGCCAATATTTCTCCTTCATATTATAATAATTATATTAAATTATTATCTAGTAAGAAATTATACAAAAATATACCGACTAATTTTATTCCTTTTCCATCTACAAATAAAATTTCATATTATGAAACAGCATCATCGTATAAATTGCCGAAGTATCTATATCAACCTTGTCCAAAAGCTTTTCCTCACATTTTACCAAACAAGTTTATTCAACACACTTTACCATCAATCCTATACGATCCAGAAATTTCAGCTACATCACAAGAATACACTTCAATAAATACAAAACGAGCACCTAAAATATTTTCTCCACATAAACATAATGCATTGGATCCCAATCGAAAAATCACCAAAAATGAATTCTATACATTAACTACTACGACTCCTTCTGTAGTCGCATCTAATTATGATACAATTGCATCAACAATACCATTCCAATCACAAATCACTGAAAAAAGACCTTGCGATCACTCTCTGTTAAATATAAAAGAATTTTCCACCAATTTCATACCACATTTCTCATTAACATCACAAAATTTGCAACTATCACCAGAAATTCAACCTTTCATAAAAAGTTCCATATCAACAAGACCAACAGAAGCAGCCAATATTTTCCCTTCATATAACATATATGAGCCAAAATCACAAAACCCAAAAGAAAATGAACGCTATATTTTTCCTGTAACTGAACCTACAATGCATTTCGTGTCATCACCATATCAATTTCCAAATACTAACTACAAATCACATAGACACTCTAATAACTTTACGCCTCAAATTTCAGTATCATCAATTTCTTATAATCCTCCACTTCCCACTGAATCAACCGTTCCAACACGAGTAGGTAAAACGTTATCCCTAAATAAATATTACGCAACATTGGATTCTAGTGCAAAAACAAACAAAAATAATAAAATAGCAAAAATTACAAACCCATACATATTAAACACACACCCGACAATTTACATTCAAAATAATGAAACACCAAACTTGATAACAAGTAATTTAAATTATAAACATACACAACCTCGCGATATGTTCACTACTAAAGGTAATTTATCATCTAATGAAATGTATTTCATATTACCATCATCAAATATACAGGATGGTTATCCTAATAATAATAACGTTTCAAAATGGAATCCTAACCGTCCTGATCCAGGTATTTTGACTAATATTACTCCTATAACATCAAATAAATTAGGGAAGAACTTCTTCGTGCCTTTAGCCAAACTTTCACAAACATACCCAACAAGTTACACTCAAAGTTATGATATACCAAACCATAAAACAGAAAATTTTAATTACAATCAACCTGACCAATCATATTTCACACTACCATCACCAAATATACAGTTTGGCCATCCAAATATTGATTATAAATACAAATGGAATCCAAAACCTAATCCTATTAAATTAGCTGATGTTACTCCTCCAATATTAAATAAAATCGAAGAGAACTTATTCGTCCCAAAAGGTAAGATCACGAACCCATACTTATCAAACATAATCCCATCAGCTTACACTCAAAGTTATGAAACACCTAAATATGAAACGAATAATTTAAATTACTATCAACCTGACAAATCGCATTTCACAATATCATCACCAAATATACGGTTTGGTCATCCAAATAGTGTTTACATATCAAAATGGAATCTAAAACCCTCTGGTCTGAGTAACTTTGCTCAAGTTACCCCTATAACATCAAATAAAATCGGAGAGAAACTATTTGTCCCAAAAGGTATAACCGAGTACCCATACTTGTCAAACATGTACCCAACAGCTTACACTCAAAGTTATGATATACCAAACCATAAAACAGTTAATTTAAAATACAACCAACCTGATAATATGTTCTCTACTAAATGTGATTTATTATCCTCTCCTGACCAATCGTATTTCCCACTATCATCGCCAAACATACATCCAAATATTGATTACACATCAAAACGGAATGAAAAACATTATAATCCGGCTAACTTAGCTGAATTTACTCCTCAGATATTAAATAACATAGGTAGGAATTCATTCATGCCTGTAGCTAAGATTACAGACCCATACTTATTAAACACAAACCCAACAATTTACACTCAAAGTTATGAAACACCAAGACATAATGCAAAGAAATTAAATTACAAACAATCACAACCCGGCAATATGTTATCTACTAAAAGTAATTTCTCACCATCACCTAACCAATTGTGTTTCACGGTATCATCACCGAATATTCATTCTGGCTATCCAATTATTCATAACAAATTGAAATGGAATCCAAAACCTTCTATTATGGGTAACTTTGCTGAAATCACACCTACAACATCAAATGAAATCAAAGAAAACTTATTCGATCCGAAAGGTAAAATTACGAACTCTTATGAAATTCCAAACTATAAAAAGAATAATTTAAATAACAATAAACCTGGCCTGTTCACTACTAAAAGTGATTCATCACCATCTCCCGACCAATCTGATTTCCCACTAACATCGCCAAATGTACAGATGGGTCATCCAAATATTTATTACGTATCAAAATTGGACCCTTCTAATCCAGGTATCTTGGCTGATGTTACGCCTACAACATCAAATAAAATTGGCAAGAACTTATTCAAGCAAGAAGCTAAGATTAAAAACCCATATATATTTAACGCAAACCCAACAATTTACACTCAATGTTATAAAACACCAAACCATGAAATAGATAATTTAAATTACAAGCAAACACAGCCCAGCAATAGGTTACCACCGCCTAACCAATTTTACTTGACACTATCATCATCAACAAATGTAGAGCTTGATCATCCGAATAATGATAATGTTTCAAAATTAAATCCAAATCATTCTAACTCAGGTAACTTGGATGATGTTACTCCTAAAATATCAAATAACATAGGAAAGAACTTATTGATGCCAGTAGCTAAACTTATAAAACCACCCATGTCAAACACATACCCAACCATTTACACTAAAAGTTATGAAATACCAGGCCATGATATAAATAATTTGAATTCCGAACATCCTGGCAATATGTTCACTGATAAATATTATTTATTACCATCACCTAACCAATTGTATGTCACAGGATCATCACGAAATATACATTTTGGTCATCCAAATGTTGATTACGTTTCAAAATGTAATCCAAAACATCTTGATCCGGGTATCATGACTAAAATTACTCCTACAAAAACAGATAAAACTGGAAAGAATTTATTCATGCCAGTAGCTAAGCTTGCAAACACATACCCAAAAGCTTACACACAAAATTATGAAATACCAAACCATAAAACAAATCATTTAAATTACAATCAACCTGGCCAATTGCATTTCACACTATCATCACCAAATACACAGTTTGGTCATCCAAATATTGATAACAAATCAAAATGGAATCCAAAACCCTCTAATCTGGGTAACTCGGCTAAAATCATTCCTGCAACATCGAATAAAATTGGAAACAACTTATTCATCCCAATAAGCCAAATTACGAACCCGTGCATAACAAACACATACACAACAATTGGCACTCAAAGTTATAAAACATCAAACCAGGAAACGGATAATTTAAATTACCAGCAATCACAACCTGGCAATATCTTTAGTACAAAAACTGAAGATTCTGCAACTGAAAATATTTCAGCCCCTAATAAATTAATTCCAAATACTTTAGCGAATCCAAATAAAGCGTTTACCACATTTGACAACCCATGGGTTCTTCTGCCAGCACAAACCTATGATCCTAATAAATTCAATTCTGTCTTTGGAAATCTGATGGTGTCTTCTCCAATTTCATCATTCAGGCCTACAAATTCTCGTATTTACGAAAAACCTATAACATCCAAAACTCTTTCATTCTCGAATTTTAAATCACCGTCTGTAATCTATAATCACCAAAAAGGTCCTAACGTCAATTATCAACAAAATAAAATTGATTCCAACCGAAATAATTATTGGCCATATGGATTGAACGAAAATTTACAAAATCTGTGGTCGCACAGAAAACCAGACACCAAAGGTTATCCTTATGTTAGTAATTCTGCGGATTCAAATTTTAAATCTGATTTTGCCACAGTTACTTTTAATAAACCTCCTTCTAAAGAAGATAGATCTTTTCAACCAATACCATCTCAAATACAACAAAAATTTTATCCATCATCCGACACAATGTTGACCACAAATATGCTAAAATACAAAACCGAAAATCCATACGTATACCCTATAAATTTGAATCCAAACAATGATAAAATTGGACCACTTTACTGGAATCATTTAAAGCCACGTTATAATTATTATACAAATTATAATAATTTACCAGCAAAATCTACTAAACCTTACGAATGTCAAAACACTTTAAACATACAACCAATATTATTTAAAAAACCTGATGCTATGCGTCCACTATCAAATAAAGAACATATTTCACCGCTTTACAAAGTATATGCCTCTCCATATTCTTTAAAATATACCGACCCATCTATTCAATACTTCTCACCTACCACATCGGCATCAAACATAAAGTCAGATATTCCCTCTTGGCAATACAATTTCGGGTTCGAACCAAAAACTAATTCAAATCCACAAAATGTTCAGGACATTATATCACAACAGAGTTTCTATAAATATTTACCTATTTATAAAATCACAGGTATAAAAACCGACAATACTCCAAAGCCATGCATAAATACTAACAATCGGCCTATAGTTTCTGATCCATATATCCAGTATTCGAAGGATCACAATATTCCAATTAACGCAATCAATGGTAGACAAAACATACAAACTGAATTCTTAAAGCCTAGATATCAAACGTTAGTGTATGACGTAAACAAATTAAAACCTAAAACCAATTATGAATCTTTTATAATAAATGACACACCAAATATACTTTCTCATCCTAAAATTACAAATCAAATTAATAAACCAATCGATAATATAAAATATTCACCAGTGCAATATAAACAGTTAGAAAAATCCAAAATGCCCACTAGTAATATCAAAAATAGAGACAATTATTGTACAAAAATGAACAACCCCAATTTTGTTCCAGATAGTAATAACAAATATGCAAAAAATCGGAATACATCCCCTATAAACATACCAATTAACAAAGGATCAATGATAAATGCTAAACCTCTCTGGAACAGTAATTCAATTCCTTTCTCTACTTCTTATAATCCAAATATCAATCATTTACATAAAAATAATAAGCTTAAGGAATTAACAATACCAGAATTATCTTCACCAAAACCGTTTTGTCAATATTGGATTAAGAGTGAAAAAAATCCAAGACCATATAACGCATTGGAAAATGCAAATTCATATTTATCAAACGATAATATCAATGCAAACATACAAAATCCAAATAAAATAGACTATCCAATTTGTAAAGGATACCTTGGTAACGGGGTCATTAATAAACCAGTTGTTTATTATATAAACGATAAATCATCAAGAGAATACTCCTGCAACAAACGTGATCCAGCAAAATACAAATTTAGCAATACAATTTTAGATGGGAAACTTTTTCAAAATACAAAACCTGACTCTTTTAACAATGCCCTTGGTTTTGCATCTTATTTTGACGGTGCTATATTACAAACTTACAATGATAATTTATATAAAGGTTCATACTTCCAAATTAATCCCACATCGATAGTAAATCCTAACAAATATATTACGGCTAAAGAAACAGGTCAAAATCACGAACCATCAGACAGTTCACCTATTACAATAAACAATTATCCCACCGCTAAATTATTTTATGCGACAATTGGAAAGAATTTAGGTTTTAAACAAAATACGAATCCACAAAGCGTAGGCGGATTAATATCAAACAAACCACAATTTCATAATAATTTCAATTCAAAATATTCCAGCTCATATGTAGATATGAACAAAACACCAATAATGTCAATATTGACTAACCCAAAACAAGCAAATTTAGAATCAGGTTATGATTTATCACCGAAATTCAACGAAATAGATAAACCTACAATCTTTTATGATACAAGAAAAGACTTGAATGAAGTTGCAAAGAATAAATTTAAAAACGAAAATTTGATTAGAAATCTTAATAAAGCTGGTTCTCCGATAACAATTAATTTAGGGACAATGGGTATCGCAAAATATGAACCAGACACATTTGAAAATCAATTAACAATTAAGACATGTGATCCTAATATAGAATTGAAAAGCTGGAAATCTAAGCTGCGAGTTATTAAAACATATTTAGTTTTAGAGCCTGAAGAATTTGATGTGACAAATTTTGTGCCAATTGTAAAATGTAATTACAATACTGATTATGAAGCTATACAGGATAAAGCTAGAGAAATGATTATTAATAAATATGGCGGTACTGTAACAGTGAAATATTTCAATTATTACCATCCTTACGCGGTCTTATGCGATATTAATAGTATCAATTTAATTAATAATAATTTTAATATCTTATGGCCCACTTATGATGGTAATTTTTGTGGCAACAGGCATAGTACTGTCATGTAATTGAAAATTTAAGTGAAGTGACATGGACGAATTCCTTTTTAAAGTCAACAGACGGCGATAATATTTCAATAAGATGTTTTCGTTAGTTAATTGAACTATCAATGTTCTATACTAAGTGTAGGTATCACAGAAATAAATGCTTAAGGTATAATATGCTTAGCGTTTATAACGAAATCATTAAAAAATATCAGCGCCATCTGTTGATAGCAATGAGCACCACCAATAAATATGTCATGAAAAATAAAAAAGTAAATGAAAAATACTTAAAAATTCCCCTAGCCCCAGACGTCCCATCTCAGGATGTCGGGGGCAGTTTTTTTTTTAACCATTTTACATTAAAAATAAGAAATATGTTTTAAAATTACAACTAAAACACTTTTAATTTATGTTGTTGAGGTATCTTTATATAAATAAAAATAAATGTCTGATTTATTACTGTAATATATTGTGCTTGTAATATAATTCATATAATGATAAAATATTTGATATACAATGCAAGTCTGCAAGTCAGGCTACCACAATTTGACAATCTCCTCAGTTGATTAAGAACTCTATTTGTAATGTATTAAGGTTAAAAATCAACTGGAAAATATATCAATTTTGTATAGTCTGACTTGCTGTTGGCTGTACGTCGATATTCAATCTCAAAACTCAATGTTGAATCAAATCCAATAGAAATTTAAAAAATATATAAACATAACTATGAACTTTGCAGTTTATCAATAAAATGTTTATTTATCTCTAAAATTTCTTTATAAATTCAAAAACTAATACCTGACTACAACTAAATCACGCTCAAAAAAGTTTGAAACAAAAAATATCACATACATCCTATCATAACAAAAAAACTGTTGAGGCATACGACTACGCTGCCCTTTGGTCATTGCTATGATAATATGGCTATTGCTTTAAAAAAAAATTTTTTTTCAAACTTTTTGGAGCGTGAATTAGCTGTAGTCTGGTTTTAGTTTTGAACTTATTATTAAGAAATAAATTCCTAAGAGTGTATTTTAGATATAAATAAACATTAATTGAAAAACTGCACAGTTCTTTATTATGTTTTTTTTTTAATATACAAACCGGCCAAAATTGCCGTGATCGGGTAAAAATAATTATATACAAATGTTTACCCTCGCGTTCGCGGCACTCATTTAAAATTTCTAATAACTGCTTTACAAGTTCTGATGAGAATTTAAAATTCAAATAATCATCTTCACATAACGTTCTGAATGAGCAAGTATTTTAAAAAAGAACATTATTATTCCCGAAATCAAACTAGATGTCGCTACGGTACGTTCTTGATTACTCCATGACAACCCTTCCGGTTTTCTTCCGTGTTTAAATCAAAACTCAATTAACAACTCATATTCTATTTGTACTTTTTCGTATTTATATTGATATCTAAGTTTCAAACTTTTCAAATTTCATTTTTTGTATATATCAGTTAAAAGGAACAAAAATGACTGTCTTTGGTCCATACGTTTCCTGCAAAAATTAACTTTTGCTAGAGTCGCCATCTAGTGGAGATGCTTTTTAGTACTTTCTTTTTTTTAAATACTTCCTCATTAACCTTGTAACGGATCGCTTATTTCGTCCTAGGTTTATATTCATTTTTTGTTTATTACCGTTTTTCTATAACCCTCTAATAAATCAAGTTTACAAGTCAGCCTTTTATTTATTCATCAAGCATCGAAACCGTCACAACTGTAAGTGCGAGTAAATTAATAAGAATTTTACCGATAAATAAAATGAGTGCCGCGAACTGTATTTTATTTATAAATAAACTTACGTTTTAGAGATACACTGCTTATTACGTTTTGTTTTTTAATAAAATTTCTTTTGAGATATCCTGTATTAACCGTATATTTGATATATATTTGATATAAGTTATTTATTGTGTGTGAATAACAGAATTAAAATTTAATACTAAAATATATTTCTTCTGTTATTAATAGGTAACTCTAACCTATTCGTTTACAGCAGATATATATCGATCTTAAAACAAAATGTAATGTTTAAACAAGTTTTAATTTGTTCTATTTTCCAAAATAAAATTGTCTTAATTAAAAATTAATTTAATAAGCTTTTGTTAGTCTTATTTTTAATTTATAAATTTAATTTATTATGTAATTCTTTGAATTATAGCTGTAGCTCATGGAAAGCTATGTGATTAACTTTAGCTCTCAAAATATATATGTTTTATTGTACCTATTATAATAGATTGTTTCTATAAAAAGTCAATTCAATTCAAGTAATTAATTAATAATATAGGTACCTTATTTGAATTCTTTAGATTTAATAAGTAAGTTATATGAGTTTTTGAGTATAGTTTTAAATTTTACGTTCAGACTTCTTTGTATATTACTAGACAAGCTATGCAATATTGAAGAAAGTAGATAATTTAAATCTAGAATAATCTAAAATTAATACTTGCATGAACTATTGTCCTCGTTAAATAACGGTAGTCAAATTAATAAATCAGTCCTTAGACGATTATGCATGATTTACATTACGTGTTGCATGTATGCATGATCGTGTGGCGACATCTATTTCATCGCGGTAACATCGCTACAATAATCGACGGCATGACGGAAGCTTCATGTTGCATAGAATAGCCAAGTGGTCGCGCCGCGATACCTGCATCGCGCTGACGAAATTCCGCCGCGACTACTTTTAAACAACTTCCAATCTATATCAATGGGATTGCAGTTCCCTAGCTACCATCATCCAGCTCAGAGGGTACTACAACATATCGCACGTTGAGAATGACAATATCACTAACCAAAAACGACGTATTTTTTACTTTTGGCAACATTTTTCTTTGTTAAGTATAAACTTTAAAATGCAAAGATCCCTGTAAACGTATCTTGCATAGAAACTGCTAGGTGGCGTAGTGACGATACGTTGTTTAGAGGGGCTGATTACAATTTCTTGAACTTTAAACGCTCATTACTCAAAATCGCATTTTTTGCATTGTGTCAGTATCGTTCTCAACGTGCGATATGTACGTACCCTACATTATGAACCTTCGTTTGAGCGGGATAAATGGAAATTGTCTTCACTTCGTGTTTGGATTTTTTTGGATGTTTTGTCTAATAATATAAATAGATTTCTTTGATTATTCTAATAGTATGAGACTGAAATGATTGTTAGCAATGATTATAAATAAAGTTATCAAAAAGTAGCATTTTGTTTTTATTTCTAACTACCCTCTCTACCAGTCTTCCATCCGTATAAAAAGTAGAGAAAATCAGTTGGAGAGCAATGTTTTGCATGTGCTTTATCTCGCTCTCTTATTATATTACCAGCCCTTTTTATGTCCCCACTGCAGGGACTCAGGCCTTCCTTATGGATGGTTAAGGAGGATGGGCCATGACCCTCCACGCTGGCCCAATGCGGATTGGAGGATATTAACGACTGCCAATGCAACTGAGACCAACGGCTTAACGTGCCTTCCGGAGCACGGCGTAGCTCGAGATAATAATTTTTGGTCACCCATCCCGTGACCGACCCTTGCGAAAGTTGCTTAACGTGTACGATCGCGGGCCGCGGCGCTTATACACTACGCCACCGAGCTACTCAGCTCGCTCTCTTATTAGCTCGACGTAATAGCTGCGTCCTTCTCAGTACGGTTTCAGACACACATGTTTCGGATTCTCAATAGTTCCACAGGTGTTTCGCTTTCGCAAGCGAATGCGTACTAACGCCGTAAAGGGACCGGTGCCAATCGAGGTGGAATACGTCATCGGTTTCACCGTCACCGTTGGCCTAATTGTTTAATTTCTCTCGGGAGGGACCGCCGGGCGGCGGGGAGGCCCGTTCATAGCACCACTTATATATATTCGCCTCACCATATACACGTATATATGATATCATCCAATATATATACTATCATTCCATACATAATATATATGTAATCCTATCCTATCTCCGGAAGGAAGGAGTGCGAGGGGTCCATCTCTACGTTCCCCGCCTCCTCTCTCCCGTTCTTCTGCGCCTCTCCCACAGGACAGGAGTTGGCACGATTTCATTTTATATTTTATACGATTCAAGTATATATTACTCATCTTCATCAATACACATATATATATATTGTCTTTCCTATCTTCGAGGGGGAGGAGTATCTGGGTCCATCAAGAACTTCGCCAGTCTCCTCCCCCCTTCTCTTCTGCGCCTCCCCTACAGGACAGGGGTTGGTACGATCCCCCCTCACAAGGGGGATCTAAAGCAAATTTTTCATTGTTCATCTTTCCCCTAACTAAAATCAAGTCAGTTTAAAGAAAAAAAAATTGTTTAATTTCAAATCTATTACAATCACTTCGAATATGACATTTAAAAGGAATTCACGAACTTCACGCTACAAGTATTTGATGTGTCATAGCAATTGCGATTGTGATAGCGATTGTGATTGTGATAGCGATTGTGATTGTGATAGCGATTGTGATTGTGATAGCGATTGTGATATCGATTGTGATTGTGATAGCGATTGTGATTGTGATAGCGATTGTGATTGTGATAGCGATTGCGATAGCGATTGTGGTATTTTTTATGGTAATGAATAAGCGATAACGTTTATTTGACGTTAATCGGAATTGTTTAATATGATAATTACAAATATATTTGAAAGCTATCGGGTAATGTCAAACGAAATTAATTGTCTATGAAATTTATATCATTCAAATCATCTTTCGCGCCAAAAGCGATTGTGACTGTAAAAGTTACACAATTCCATAAATCACTATCACAACCGGCATACGTTTGAAAATGATTGTAATAGATTTTAAAATGAAACAATTAGGTCATGATCACATACTTCATAAAAACTGTAAAAAAGACATATCTAGAACAGTATAATAATAATGTTGACTCATTAAAATACTGAATGCTTAGCATAAAATAAGGGACACTTCGTTCCACTACAAAATATGGCGGTCCAGTGTGTAAAGCTTTAACAGCCTACAGTTAACTCTACTTTTTATGCGATTTACAGACACCATAATTAAGGTTTTAACAGGACAAAATCCTTTAACTTCGTATTGGCAACTCGAACATTTGCACGTTTCAATCGACCAACTAATTTCTTATTTAGATTCTGTGGATACATCAAAACATAATCTCTAGCCATTAAAAAAAAAATAGTTATAAAACGAGATTTGAATATAGTTGCCCTAAAGTTCACTAGATGTCTCTAGTGTTGTTGAAAGTGTGAAATACTGACACGATCACTTGTGGTTCCAACTCATGCGTCGCTTTAAATTTATGTGGTGAACATAGTAGTACTGTAAATATACATTAGGTGGCGCTGACGTAAAAAACGCTGCTTATTGTTAAACCTTATTTTATATTAGTTATTTTATCATTCAACTGTACCCGCCGCTTCGCCCACGTGTTCCGAGGTTATTTTGTGTGCACACTAGCCGGCTATATTGGTGTTGCTGTCATGTTTAAACAGTGCTATTAATAAACAAGGTTTAGCGTTAGAGTAAAACGCTGAGACTGCACTTAGTATTAGACAAAATTCATATTATTAAACAGAGACTTGGCAAAGGTTAACCTAGTACGAGGTTCTACGAGAGCAATATTTACTTCTAAAAGGTTGTAGGTTTGCTTATTCTATGAATAATATGAATTTTAACTAATATTAGAATTGAAATTTTACTCCGACGCTAATCCTTGTTTATTAATAGCACTGTAGAGGTTTAAATCATTATACTTCCAAACTGTTAAAGTCCCAAAAAAGGTTCAAACTTAATGAAACAAGCAATAAGGTCGAGGATAATTTATTTACATTAGAAAAACTATATATGTCTTTGTCAAACAATCATAACACCGCGATTCAAAAAGTCAAAGGTACACCATCTATTACAACATATTACATGAGTAAATGACATATATTATGTCATTTAAAAAGGCAGATTTAACACAAACTAAGTCAACAAGTCGCAACTACGCACGCACCTTAGCCTTCAGTCTTCGTATAACAAGACGGTAGGCTACGTGATATACACACAGACAGACGAAATAAAATTGTAATTATTGTAAAACAATTTTATTTTTATTCTTTTATGTATGAGCTACGGATCATTTGTAAATTGTTTACACCACACCTTCCTGTTTGAAATAAGTTCTATTTGATTGGACTTCTAATACAGCGCAGTGTTCACCGCTTTTTTTATAGTAAAGCTTTTCTGAAATTTTATAAAATGTACTAATAAAACAGAAATTCCACGTCACCCTACTAAAGGGTGTTACTATAAAACACAATGGCACATAAAACATTCTTTTTGCCTAGCCTGCGCATTATACAGGCTAGAAATAGGCTTTGACAATTTCAAAGGGTT